GTAAATGATTTTATCGGTGCTTAGTTTACATAATTTAACTAAATTAAAGAGCTTTTTTAAAAAATATTAAAAAAAAATGCAGTAAAGTAAAAAATTACACAATGTTTTAATTATATGGCCACTTCAAAGTCGATGTATTTTCATAAAAACCGTTATTTATGGAAAAATTGCATGAAATAATTTTCCATTTCCACACTAAATCTCTTAAGTGCAGTATATCGAAGTGTTCTGAATTAAAAAATTTTCAAAAATACTTCAAACGAATCGAGGGCTGATCAAAAAATGTTTACCACAGTAAATGTTTTAATTCTGTGGCCACCACTGTATATATATATATATATATATATATTATTTGAATGAACTTCCTCAGAATCTGTCTATTTATTTGAATATTATTAACATATACAGTTATTTTCAAAGATATATTATTTTTACATACATCTGATATTCCTTTCTAGAACTGATGAAAATTATAAACTTTTTTGAGAATAATATTTTGAAATTTTATATAGATTTGAGTAAACCATACGTAATTTCCAATGGTTTTGGGTGGGTATCCGACGTTTCTTACGTATGTATTATACGTCGGAAATGTCACTGTTTCTGACGGACTATCTTTGGATGCATCCGAATTTAACCAAACTTTGTCCAATATTATATTTTTACCAAGGTACTAATGGACCGATAAGCCCTATATTCATACAATATAAACATGAATATGGGGCTTATCCGTCCACTCCGTCTAGCACCTCCCAAAAACGGGTCAATATTTTGAAAACTTGCTAATTTTATATGAAGCGAACAGAATCTAATATCATTAAAACGTTGCCAATTGTTACTAACCTACATAAACCTAACATACTAACTTACTAAACCTATATAAATTTCGAAGATGGAACCCATCGGTCCCCTTCCTCTGATACCGCTCCACAATGTGTCTTAATGTTGAACATTTTTAATTCCAATATCAAGAAAAGGAACTGTTCGATTTGACCCAAACGTTACATATTAATATTTAAATTAAAAAGAATGTAGGTTCTGAATTTCTCATAAAATTTACACATCGGTTCCCTCCGATGTAATATTTTTTTCATCAAAAGTAGATGAAATCCGAAGATTAGGTCTAAAGAGTAAATTTTTGTAAATGTTCGATATAAGTATATGTCTAGACAAAGTCTCCAGCTGGACCCCTGTTTGGATTTAAATTGTTCTAGTCATATTTTCTAACTTAGGATGATGTAATTTTCTAGTTGTAGATAGGAATACCTCTTATATGATTTAATTGATTTATTTTTAGAAGCTTGTGCAGAAAATATTTCAAAAATATTTCTCTAGAAGATTTCTTATCCTTAGAAGTCTTTCGATAGGATTCTAGCTGTCGAAACATAAGGATTTAATGACTGAGAATTTAATGATTGTTGAGTTCGTATCCCACATCCCAAGGCCGACAATCTGCTGAATTTCAGTTCAATTTTATTGCTGTTTTATTTGGATGTTATATTTTTCAACTTCGAAAGATATTTCACTAGAAGATTTTTTATTCTTTGAAGTCTTTCGATAGGATTCTAGCTGTTGAAACATAAGGATTTAATGATTGTTGAGTTCGTATCCCATATCCCAAGACCGACAAATCTGCTGAATTTCACTTCATTTTTATTGCTGTTGGATGTCTTATTTTTCAACTTCGATACTCGGCTTTTTTTAATTTCAGAACAACGTGAAACTTCAAAATTTTATATTGTTAGTCTCAGACCAGTTCATGGATTATACTAAGTACATATATCCATAAAAGCAGTTATATTGAAAACATTTATTATTGGTATAAAATTTTGGAATGGTATAAATCTAGAATTATTCGCATTCGTTGACCCAATTAACATACAAAATTCCTTTTTTTATACCTTCAAGTAATTCCTAGCTTCCATCCCTGAAATTTGATATTCATTGTACACCCTCTCCCATTCTAGCCTTATTTCAAAGATCTACTCTTTTAAATGAGAATAGAAAAATTAGTTAACAATTTGTTATTGTTTTTTAACGTATCTTTCGCCGAAGTACGAATATGTGCGGTAAACCCCAAAAAACAAACTCAAACAATAACTTGCACAAAAAATACGAAATTGAAATTGTTTAGTGTTTTGTTTATAACAAATTGAAATAGAAGTCATTATATACTCTTGTGTTTTTAGTGCTATTATTTTCTTTTTTGTTAATAATTTACATTTAATTGTTAATTAAAATAATAACAAACAACTAAAATTATATATAAAACGTGAATAATTTTATTTACATTGTAAATATGTATTAATTATTATCTTAGCCCGGGTGTGTCATTTATCAGTAGTTGGATAATACAACAACAATTTAGTTTTTTTTATTTTTTAATTAATTCTATAATTTAAATGGATAATAATAATGAACCGAATAAAAAAATTGTTGAAAATAAGGTGAGCATTGAAAAAAAAAATAATTATAAAACCGTACACACAGCTACATACATTTGACATACATACATCAATTGAAAAGAAACGCAATTAATTTGTTATTTTGTTTTAATAAGATAACAAATTTGATGACAAATCGATTAAAATAGAGGTGTTTGGTTTATTTGTCCCCGAATAACAGTTGTATTTTTTAAAAAGCTGACCTCCATAGATTTCCCCAATATCATCAACAACACCTTGAGTTGTTTAGCTACTTCATTCCATCATTTCCACCTGCACCAACAAGTCTATATATTGCACAATCCATAAATGCTAAAATAATCTGTGGCCCAATGTCCATTAATAACAAACAAAAATTGAAAATAAAATTTCCATAATTGTATGAAAGTGGAGTCATATCATATAATGATTTAAAAAAAAACGCTTTAAAGTGCTCTAGACAATTTGATCTATAACATTATGCATACATACTGAATATTAAGGTGTGTCGTGAATTTGTTTATAAATACAAATCAAATGAAAATAATTGGAATTGAAAGAAATATTTATAGTTGGTAGAAAAATATATGTCAATATATGTCTAACAAAATGTGTGGTAGATCTACATAAAAAAATGTGCTTCAAACAAAGGAGGGCCTTGTATTTAAAAATCTATATCTATAGAAGGCCTATAGAAAATCTTTCTTTCTTTCATTAGCAGATTTTATTTATAAAAAAACTTATATCTACAGTGACCATTAGAAGATATGGGTCATTAATTATAGAAGATCCTTAGAAGGTATGGACTAAAAATCTGTAGAAGATTTTTTGAATTCCTTATATGTGTAGAAAAATCATATTTTTCTATCCAGATATAATCTGTACGAAAAATCTTCTTCTTGGCAGAATAAATACCCAAGAAGAAGCCCGCTTACACTTTGGTAGGTATGTTATTGGACTTTCTCTTTCCAAAATGTGATTGGGGTTAAAGGATTTCGCAATCAAGACATCTTTGATGTTTTTTAGTATCGGAGTCGGATATAATTTTTCTGGATAACGGTTAATTAAAAAACATTCTTTGTGTCAAATCAAAAACAAAAAACCTAAAAACCAAAACCCGAGTCTTATTCGGCCAATATCTGTCACCTCAGCCCATTGTGTAAAAGAAATAGGTCTGCTACAACAACAACACAACCCCATAAGTCATTTTTTAGACATTTTGACGAGGAATATGAATAGCAAAAATTTTCTGCAAATAAGTCTTTATTACTCGGAGAACCCTTAATAAAAAATTACAGCATTTTTCGTTTGAAAAATGGTGCTTGGACCTTCAAAATTGTAAGAAACAAGCACATAAGATATTTTATGCTCTGAGAATCTGAATTGCCAAATTGCGGCCAGGGCCATCAATGGCCATTATGTGAGAGTTTTTCAAAATAAATTTATACAAATTTTCAGTAAGGTGGACTTTTATCCTCTGAAATCTCGTATTACTTATTAGAGCCACTTAGCTAGGAAAATAAGAGAGCTATGCCAAAATATAACCCTTTATTAAAAATATTTTGCAATGAGGTATTTATGGCTTGGACATTTAAAATTTCTTTTATATAGGACATAGTCACGAAAGGTATTTTATCTTCAGGAGGTATTTAATCTTCTGAGAATCCAAATATTGCGTTCACTTCAGTTGGAAAATGCGGGCAGGGAGTTTTTCAAAATATACCCATTTATTTAAAAAAAAAATGCAGGGAGGTCCTTTATTCTCTGAGAATCCGAAATACCATGTTACAGCCATTTCGGTAAGAAAAACACAGTCGGATCGGATTTCGGATTTCTTACATGGAGGTAAAGTCGCAACATGGAATTATATTGACATTTTGGTAAGGAGCATAAAAATACCTAACATAAGGGTGAATATTAAAAGGGATACATGTCGAAACATTTCAAAATTTGAGTTGGTTGGGAGTTGGAGTTGCTTGGAAGATGAGAAGATGCGTTTCTTTTACAAAAAATCATACAAAGCACGAAAAAACTATGGATTAGTTCCACATTTTGGAATACATATTATATTATTATTTTCTAAATATTTTTACAACCACCCTAATGTATATATTTTAGTAATCTAAATATTAATTGAATAGTTAAGTCCTCACATATAAGGTATGATTGTTATTCGAATGTTGAAAGCAATCAAATTTTAATGTTTTCAAACAATTTATGGTTGCAAAATGACGCAATTTGTTTACCCAATTGATATAAGTGGCCCTGGACTATATTGGGTCGAGTAATTATCGACATAAAATGAGCATCAAAGCTGCAATAAAGAAACTATTGCCGTTTATATCCTTTCCTTTGTATGACATCTAAATTCATAATTCTAAAAATTGTCCCCAATATTATTATTATTATAACGATATCGTTTTTTCAAAATTAATTTAATTTATTGTATACCAACTGAACTAATTTGTTATTCTTTAAACAAATTGATAACATTTATTTATACACCATTACTTGAGTACCTTTTTGTATTGCAAATTAATCATTGTTTGATTTTCTTTGTTTTTTTTTTCATTCCAGGAATCCATATCATTGGCACATGATCTCTCAGATAAACCCTTACCACCATCACCCTTCATAAAAACAACAATTGAGGGTGGCAAAGTATCCGATCGTTTGGGTAAATTAAAATCCTCTTCAGAAAGTTGGAAGACACGCGTGGGTAAGTACAAATGTCTAACAACCATTTCGAATCTCTTCTAATTTCTCCAACTTAACATTTCAGAACAATCGGATGCCTCCAAATTCACTGTCGCTGGTCGACTCCAAAAGAAAGCACAATCACCGGTCGAATTACAATTTGAACGTTCAGCAAATGCGGCGGCTAAAAAATGTCCCCTACATATCATACGCAGTGCCAATCAACCTCTATTGGGTTTGGCCAAAAGTCCTTCAATGATGACTTCGGGTAGTGCTCGTGTACCCGGTGTTGGTCATCATTTAGTTCAGCGTAGCCTTAGTATTAATGAAGGAAATGTAATTGCCGAACGTAGTTCATCCAGCAATTCGGATAGTGATAATGACAAAGATGGCAAAGAGAAGCGAAGCAACATGACAATTGGTGTTAGTTCTAGTCAGGGTATGACTGGGACCGGAGGAGCACGTGTTGCCATACCCAAATTGGATGATGAAGAAACATTTGAGAAATTCTTTGCTTCGAAGAAATCACCCACAACACCGGTCACGCCAGAAGAGGAGGGAATTAATATTGAAGATTTCGATCATATTAAATCGACACAAAGGTAAATAAAGGTGGATACAAAAAGGATATAAAAAATCGGTGTGAGACGATAATCAGGACCTAGAACAAAATGGGAATTCTTGTCCTATGAGAACCCAAAATGTGAAATTGGTTGGAAAAAATTTTTGCTCGGAATTAAAAGTATCTAAAATCGGTCAGACTTAGGCCTATTTTGAAAACTGCAATCAGAAATGTGTAATTATTATCTCTACGGTTGAAAATGTGGCTAGGATCATAGCCTTCTGGGCGGATCCTTTATGAAGGGATATGTTGAAACCTATCTTCCGACTAGTACCTTCAAAATTCCGATGGCTCTTATAAAGGACTTGAATTTTAGACCTGCACACTTCAGATGAAAATAGTAGCTAATGCAAAAAACTATGCCGGCCTATGAGGGCTACGTCAAAATATATAAAATAATCACGAAGAGTTTTTTATTCACTGAGATATACCAGAATGCCAATTTACAACCACTTCTGTTGAAAAAAGCTAGGACCTTCAATATAATGAAAATGGTGCGGGACCTTTATATGAGAGCTATATTAAAATATGCAACTACGAATTGAATATTTACCGTGAGGAATCTTTTTGTTCTCTCAGAATTCGAAATGTCAAATTACTGCCACTTCGGTTGGAAACTAGGTCGTGGGTTGTATTAAAAATCTGCAGAGTTAACGGTTGACATTTTTTAGGTAGAAATTGTTTTATTGTGGTTTTTTTAGTTGCCAATCTACTTTATTTTAAATTTAATCGCATCCTCTTTTCCCTCTTCCTGCAGATTGGCTGTCAAACGTAACATACAACTGCCCAAAGGACGCCGAGCTGCCCGCAATCCTCTACGTAATTTGGCCTCACGCACAGATCTCTCCTCCGAATATACTGAAGTAAAATCCGGCATAGCTGAAAGGGAAATGCGCCGAATTCGTGCTGAATCATGTAAGTTTGAAACAAAGTAAGCCGTTTTATTAAATCCTCTCTTAATTCAAATTCCCTCTAAATTTCAGATGGTGGTAGGGTTAATTTAGCCGCTGAAGCAATTGCCGGTTTAGCATCTGTTGAAGATTTCAAATCGGTTTCATTGAAATCTTCCTCATTGCCACTGGTACAAATGTGGGTACCCTATAAACCGGTTATGTTGCTGCATGTCAAAGGTCGCACACATGTACAAACACGCCTCGTTGAACCATCATATCTCTCCCTGAATCGTGGTGATTGTTTCATTTTAATAAATGGTCCCAATTTATACCGTTACGTTGGCTCCTATGCCAATATCATTGAAATATCACGCAGCAAGAAGATCTGTGCCTACATCGTGGAAAATAAAGATATGGGCTGTACAGCCACCTCCGAGGTCATACTCACCGATGGTAAATTCATGAACGAACATCATTGGAAGAAATTCTGGGACATTTTGGGTAAACCCGAGGCCTATATTATTCCCGACAGTGGTCATGCCGATGAAGATGACTTGTTCGAAGCCAGCCTGATTGAGACGAATAAAGTTTACGAATTCCAGGATGATTCCTTGGTGCCATATGAAAAATATTGGGGCTGCATACCCAAGGTGGAAATGTTGGATACCAAAAAGGTGTTGGTATTCGACTTCGGTTCTGAAATGTACATATGGAATGGTAAGAATGCACCATCAGACTCTAAGAGAGCTGCCCTCAAATTGGCCCAGGAGCATTATGAAGACGCCATGGTGGATTATTCCAAATGCTATGTAAATCCCATGCAGTATGCCTCGATTGTGGGAGCTCGTGACAATTACAGTTTCCCCAAACGTTGTGAGAAGCGTGGTGATTGGTGTATTTTGGGTAAAATTACACAAAACATGGAAACTGCGTTGTTCAAGGAGAAATTTGCTGACTGGCCGGAGGTGGAGAGAGGAGATTTGGAAAAAGACTATTTGGTGAACAGTGTGAATTCTGTAAAACCCTTAGATGGCAATGCCCTCTTCAAGGGCAACCCCTATGAAGAACCCAATCTCATTTTGGAACAGGCCAATTTGGGCCGTGGCAACTTTTACTATGACACCAATAGCATGCGTCACTTCGAAATCATTTCCAAATCCTGTGACAAATGGCAAATCAATGAATTCAATTTCGATAAAGTGGACCAGGAAAGTTATGGCCACTTTTATACAGCTGAAAGTTACATTGTCAAATGGATCTATCAAATCAATGTTACCGTTCGAGAACTTTCCGGACGTATTTCAAATCGTAGTACTGTCGGCCGAGATCGTTGTGTCTACTTCACATGGCAAGGTAGTGAAGCATCAGCCAACGAAAAAGGTGCTGCTGCCCTGCTCACCGTAGAATTGGACAAGGAAAAGGGTGCCCAAATGCGTGTAGCCCAGGGCGATGAAACCACCGTGTTTATACGCCTGTTTGGTGTAATGTGTCAGCACAAGGGACGCCGGGAAGAAAGTTTGTCTCGTCGCAGCCAATGGCGTCTCTATCAAGTAATCGGCAATGATCCCGAAGAGACTCTACTCAAAGAAGTTGATTGTCATGGCAAACAGTTGCGCTCTCGTGCTTCCATGCTCCTGATTCACGGTGAAAAGGGTATTATTTATGTATGGCATGGTTGCCAATCTGCTGCCCATACTCGTGATGTGTGCCTTAAGGCTGCCGAAAAACTGAAAGACTTGAAACCCAAAGATTTATTTGAATGCGATAGTGTAGTCATTGAAGTAATGGAGGAAACCAAAGAACTTCAAGATTTCAAAGAAAGTCTCAATGGCGACTTTACACAACCAGCCCGATTATATGGTAGTCTTTGTGATGAGAAGTCGAAAGGGTTTAACTACACGCCACGTCTCTTCCATTTCTCAAGTACTCAGGGCGGGGTATTCAGTGCCACCGAAATACAGTCGCCCTTGAGATGTAAAGATCTTATAACGCCATATCCCTTCAGTCAAGCACAATTGTATAATGCCCGACAGCCGACTATTTTTATGTTGGATGATGGTGATTCGTTGTGGCTTTGGATGGGCTGGTGGCCATTGGAGGATATTAAAAGTAAGTTATTAATTTATTTTCTTGGTGAATTATATTTATTGTTTGAATTTGTTGCAGTAAATACTGATGAACGCAGCAGCCCCACAAATGAAAATCGTGCTGGTGTCAATCGTTGGATTTCCGAGCGTCGAGCTGCTCTAGAAACGGCTGTATCATATTGGAAAGCGAAATTTGGTATGTTTTAAATTAAGTTGAATAAACAGACATTTGCGGACAATGTCAGGATTGAAATTTGTATATTATTTTTTTATTGAAGGACATCGATTTAAAAGATAAGCAATGTCTATGTGATGCATAAGCTTGGGGGTTTTACGAACTATTTTCAACGAATTATAGTTCTAATTTTTTTAAGAATTTAGAAATAGTCAAGCGTGGATTTCTTAAGAATATTTACTTTAAAAACTATCACAACAACAAGCTAGGATGTTAAATGACTATTTTTTGAGTTAATGTCGGAACTAAAAACGTGGATATTTTTAAAATACATTTCCATTATTTTTCGAATTAATATCAGACCGTTAAAGGTGGATTTTAAGGCATTCTGGTGTTGAGGTGTGAATTATTAAGAATATATTTCGAAGTAGCATGAATCTACAATTGTGGATATTTTTGGAATATTTTTCAATTTAATAACAAATCTTCAACCGTCACTCTTTGAATGTTTTGAATTAATATATTTTTCGAAGGAAAGTTATATGTTAGGAATATTTAAAGGACTAAGAGGTCTAAAAACATAGGCTTTTTACGATATTTTCGTTACGTGGATTTTTGTATGATAATTTATCACATTTGTTTTACATACCTTCTAACAAACCTGATTTTAATTTTTTCCAGGTGAAAACAATGAAAAACAATTCCATGGCATTAAAGGTTATGTCGTGTGGGCAGGTTTGGAGCCAATTGCATTCAAGGCTTTATTCCCCGAGTGGAGTGATAGAGATGATATTAAGGATATTAATTTACAAGTAAGTAATAACAACAAATACTCGTAGCACAAAGTTTTTAAAAAAAAAAAAAACCTTTTCTTTGCTTCAGGATGGTCGCACCGATGAACCCCTACCCATAGCCGATGTTTTGGAACAACTCTCACAAACCGAATATCCTTTAGAGGTGCTAAAAGCACGTCCCTTACCCGAAGGTGTTGATCCAACACGCTTGGAATTGTATTTGAATGCGGACGATTTTGGAAAAGCCTTGGGTCTGCAACGTAGTGAATTCGAACAAATGCCATTGTGGAAACAAACAAATCTTAAAAAAGAGCGGGGACTATTTTAAAACTCGCATGAAGACCCCCTAAAAACACTCGTTTTTTTAATAACTGATATACGAACAGCACAAGCTTATACACTCATATTAGTATATATACTTACACTTACATTTATCATATATCATGAATATTTGAATAATCACTACCCCCTGAGTTGGGGTACAACCAAACATAATCAGTCTTACAGAATTTTGATAACAATTTACAATAGAAATTTAAGTGAAACAAAATATAAGGCCTTAACACAAAATTTATAAAAAGCTAATACTAATACACAAGCTAATTTTTATATCTATATATATGAAAAATATCAACATAATAATGCGCTTTATTAACACACATACATCTATTTCAAAAAAAATACATTTTTGTGCAATGAAACAATTTTTGAAAGAAAACAAGCAATTGAAAACTTTTACATTTACTCATAAATATGTAACACTCATCGTTTACATTCATCATCAACGCTTTATTATGCTAATACACACACATACACATTCAATCAGTACATAAAACCTAAATTATCAGCATCATCATAAAATTATATTTTTTATTATAATTTGTAAATATTCTCTCTCCCTTTTTCCTCTACTCTGGAAATATATTTTTTAAGTTAAATCATATTATTGTCTTTATTTTGTGATTGTAATATTATTTTTGTTTAAGATTTTCAAAATTTTGTTTGAATAAAATATAAAAAAATTGTGTAGTTTATTTTTTATTAATTTGCATTTTTTGTTTTAGTACAATTTTTATTTTTTAGTTAATTAAATAAAAAAATACTAATGCTCCATATGGTTTCATTCATAATTAAGTTTCATTCATTTTAAGTTAATTATACCTGTAATAATTTTAAACTCGTACATACACAAAGTTTTAAAAATGTGTATGTATAATATTTTGTAATTGTATTTATCATTTAGGAATTTGTTATATTATGCAACAACAATATATATTATCATTTTTTTTTCAAATAAAATAAAATTTTTAAAATGTATATTCTATTTAAAAAATATGTGTTTATGCTTTTGAAAAAGGTTTTATATTGTATAACAAACACCCGTCATGGAGGATTTTTATTGAATACTAGCATATGCCCGCAACTTCGTTAGCGAATGTAGAAAATATTTAAACAAGTATTAACATATTATATTATTTTATATGTCAGAAAAAAACAATCCACACATTAATATAGACCATAAATGAAATATGAGCACCATTTAATAATTTGATGTCTAAAGGTTCACCCAAATCCAAATTTTCCATTTAGCACACATTATTTCCAACCATCCAACACCCCCATAATGATTCCAAATTCAAATTTCAGGATTCCAAATCTATTGTTTCACCCACAATTTAAATTGTACCAAATTTAGTACAAAGTAGTACGAATTTTCAAAACTTCCTACATACCCCAATCCTACACCCCGATAGTGATTCTAAATCCAAGTTTCAGGATTCCAACTCCATAGGTTCACCCACAGTTCAAATTGTACCAAATCTTGTACGCAGTAGTACCCAAAACTTCCTATATTCCCCAATCCGACACCAACGTCATCCTAAATCCAAGTTTCAAGATTCCAACTTTATCGGTTGATCCACAATTCGAATTGTACCAAATTTTTTACACAGTAGTACGAATTTCCAAAACTTCCTACTTAACCCAAACCAACACCCCCACAGCGATTCTAAATCCAAGTTTCAGGATTCCAACTCTATCGGTTCACCCACAACTTAAATATTTCAATCTTACACCTCCACAGTGATCCTGACTCAAATTTTCATGATTCTAGCTCTATTGGTTCACCTAAAATTCAAATTGTACCAAATTTAGTACCATTTAATACCCAATGTATAAATTTGTTAAACTGAATTCTGACCCTAATCCTACATCCATACAATGATCCTTCCTGCAAATTTCATTGTTCCAGCTCTATCGGTTCACCCAAATCCATATTGTACCAATTATAGTACGATTTAGTACTTTTCGTACACATATGTAAAAAAATTTCCAAAACTACGTACACATCCTAATCCTACACTCTGACGGGTATGTTACTTTCAATTTTCAGGATTCCAGCTCGATTTGTACCTTCAAATCAAATTTGTACCAAATATAGTACTTTCGTACAAATGAGTACACGCTTTCCAACTCTCCTCATATCGACCCTACTTCTCAATCTTAATCTGCATTCGAAATTTCAAGTTTTTAGCTCAATCCACTCACACGCTAGTTCGAAAAAACCCTTTGCTACATCTATTCTACACTCCATCGGTGACCCTTAATCCAAATTTCAAAGTTCTAGCTCTACTGGTTCGCCAAATACAAATATCACATTTAGTACTTTTTGTACCGTTCTAGTACAAATTTCCAAAACCCAGTCTTATCTGACACCTTTGGACCCTCACCCAAAATTTCAAGATTCTAGCTTCAGCCGTTTCGTCTGGGCGTTGATGAATCGTTAAATCAGTCAGTCAGTCACTTTTATTAGTAGAGATTAGTATAGGTTAGGTATAAGGCTGAGGGTAAAACAATTGAACAACAAAACTCTCGCATGCAATAAAATTAGGCTCAGTTGGTTTCAAAGTTGACTAAGTGATTGGCAATGCGTACATATTTTAATGAGATGCATGATGTGAAATCTAGATGTCGCCCATATACTTATAGACAGTGGATGCTACATCAAGAGTATGTTTGAAAACAGTTTGCTCACATTTTCTGCAGAATTTCAAGTATTTTAATGATCATATGCTCATTTTGCCATTCTGGCAGAAAACTGTTAAATATGGTCACATATAACCAATGATATATATTATTTTAGGTCTCGCTCATTTTAGGTATTTTCTGCCATTCCGATTTTATGTTAAATCCGATGTTGGGGTTTATAAAGCAAACTTTTCTGATACTTCTATACAGTTGATAAATTCTTTGATAGAAACATATACCTCATATAAAGCGAAATAAAATCTGTATATTATTCCGTAGACCTCCCCAAACCATAGGCTTATTTGATCCAAAAATTCTACAAAAACTGCTATGTCATTGTGATTCAAATTAAATAAGTAAAACCTCTGGCTTATCTAATTTTATGGTTTGGAACAAATGCATGTGGGCAATATTGCCAATTTTTTAACATAGCTGAAGCGGAGGTTCACCCCTTTATAACTCGGGAACTACTTAAGTATATGGTATAAAGTGAATAGTTTTGGGTTAATTGATCTGTCGTTGCAAACTGTTCATGATATTGACCTCCAAACTTTATTTTGGTGGAAGCTGTGTCTACTTTAATGTAAAAAAATGTGTAAAAACAGATTGAGGCGAACCAGTTTTTTATGTTCTATATCGATTTGTGACTAAGCCACTCATTGCACGGTCTTCGTGTCAAAATAAAACTGGAAGCCAACAAAATTGGGACTACGCCCCTTATGTATCATTATTCAAAATTTTAACTGCATCTACCTTTAAATGATGCTGACATTTTGAAGCTCGATTTTGAGTGTTTTTTTAATTTTACTTCTAGCTTTAATACGCAAACAGGAATTTCTAAAAATCGATTATATAATTTGATTATTTTGTGTATGTAGTATGCACAGCTTTGTAGCCAAATTTTTAGATCTGCTGAATGATATACCCGCGACGTTTTTTACGTTTCGGATGATATAAAATCTTCTTCGTGAAAATCCATCTACTAGAACGGCGGGAACTGGTCTTCCAAAAACACGAAATTTGGCAAAAAATGTTTTTGAAAATATCGCGGATTTATTTGCGTTTTCTGTGTATCATTTCCGCTTTAATAAATGACCTCATACGGATTTTGATCTTTTTCGAAAAGAGAACTTTAAAAACTTCAGCCGAAAGAGAGATGTACGCAATTTATCTCAAAAATAGATTTTGCTGGCACATCCATGGTTCTTAATGGACCACATTGAAATGGTATAGATCGATGTATTTTTTTAGGGTGCACACCGAAATCTGATGCGCGTTAATGGCATATCGAGTTTTCGGAAATTATTCGCGTTTTACGATTTTTTGGGTACTTCAATGTAACGTGTGGCACATCTTAGCCGTCAATTGAAATTTCGCAAAATATATATGGATTGGAAGATAAACTTCAGTACTTCCTTGAAACCGCATGCGCATCAAATGATTTTGAAAATTATGCGATTTACACGCAATTTAAAATGTATATTTTATAATATTATTTTATTTTAAGATTTATACCTATTTATAGAATTCTAAGATTTATCGGAAGGGTCTTGATATAATCCGCAAGGCGTATACTTATACACAAAAAGTGATTATTATTATATACGTCAATTTTTCGGCGAAATTCGGGTAAAATAGCAGAATAACCCCAACATTTTTTTCTGAAATTTCTTGTATACAATTAAAAAAAATAAATATGATGACATTATTTTTTCGAACCAAAAACAAATATTTTTCCTCGATATCTTGTTTTGTTGTCGCTGTGATTTAGAAACCGCTACACGGACTTGTGTGATTTTGATATCATTTGATTCATCATGGTGTTTAGATTATGTAGATATTTTTAAATTAATTTTTAGGTGTGTGTATGTCATTAATATGATGAAAATATTGATGTAATCTGCTATATTTTTTTATTTTTCTCATATTTCGCGAATATGTGCAACTTTATCGTGATTATTATAATATATTCATATTCTTATTTTACGGAGGAAAATATATATCAACGTTTTTGGTCAATATAATAAACGGCGTAATTTTAAGATTTTTTTCTTATGCCCAAAATTAAAACCTCGAAAACTTTTGCGCGCATCAACCCAAAATTTGATCGCGAACGGTTTCGGAGTCAGAACATTTTTCTCTATATGTGTACCAAAAATCATTGATGTGCCACAAAAACAAAAAAGCTGATTTTTTGAAAATGGAATATTAAAAAATTGGCAATATTGCCCATGTATAAATCTCTTTTAGAAAATTTGGTATAACTCTCTCGAATGCAATAACCCATTTGATACAAGCTTTGAATATTTATTTCCAACCCTTGATCAAGTCAGAAAATATCACGTGAACAGAGAATACTTAAATCATCATCAATTGTATTGAGATTTTTATGTATTCCACGGCTACTTGTATTTCGATCTTTTTTTCTAAAAAATGGAAATTTCTGGTAAGGAAAAAAAAAAACTATATTTGGTTTTAGCTCACTTAATTTGGGAGTTATCTGTTTTGTTTTTATTGCAATATTTATAACTATATCTATTAAAATTGAAAAATCTATGTTTATATACATAAATGCTAATTATTCTATATACTATCTACATAACTATTGATTAAATACACTTAAACTATAAATGTGTTGCCTAAATACTACAAAAAAAAAATTAAAATAAAAAAAAATGATGCCAATAAGGGAATTTGGCCGAGAGGAAGAATTGCAAAAAAATAAAAGTCAGCAATTCCATTCTCAAATGGCATTGAAAATAAAAATAATTTTGAAAAATCAAAACAAAACTGAGATTTAAGAAATATTAATAAAAAAAATGGGGAATCATTACAATCGAATTTTTCACATAATCCCAAGAATTATTAATTTACATTTGATATCAGAACTTAAACTAATCGTGATATTACAGATGACCTGAGATTTATTTCAATTGTGCCTTATTGGGACATTCTTTGGCAATTTCACGAATGACACGGCACAAAAGTTCTCCACAGACGGCTTGGCGGGAACGACCCACTGTCACAACTTCTTCGTGATTGGCCTCATCTTCACTGCTGTCATAGCCGGTGGCACATTTGTTGGTGATCAAACTAAAGGCGAAGACTGTCAAATCACAATGACGAGCTGTGATAACTTCATGGACGGTACTCATGCCCACCGCATCAACACCCATGGTCCGCAACATTCTCAACTCGGCTACGGTTTCATAATTTGGTCCACCCAAACAGGTGTAGACACCCTCGTGGATTTCATTCTCAATTCCCATATCTTTGGCAACTTGTTTGGCAATTTTAATCAGATGAGCATTGTAGGCATTTGTCATGGGAGGGAAGCGGGGACCAAAACGAGGATCATTGGGCCCTTGCAGCGGCGAATTGCCGGCAAAGCCCATAATATTGATGTGATCACGTACAAGCATAATATCACCGACCTTGAATTTGCTGTTGAGACCACCGGCAGCATTGGTGGCCATCAAATAACGGACACCGACCAATTTCATAACACGCACCGGCATTGAACACTTGGCCAAGGGATAACCCTCATAGTAATGGAAACGTCCCTGCATAGCCATAACAGGCATATTTTCCAAATAACCGAAAATCATGCGACCAACATGTCCCTCCACCGTGGACACTGGAAAGTTGGGAATATCTTCATATTCAAAGATTTTCGTATCGGTAATCATATCAGCAATGGAATTTAAACCGGAACCGCAAATAATACCAATTAGGGGACGAATAGTTGTGCGATCCAACAAATAATCGGCAATATCTTTAATGACTTCATAGGAATATCTGGAAATAGCAAAAAATAAAAGCAACAAAGTTGTAATATTAATAAAATGTTGAAAACAAATCGTAAATATATATTTATGGACAATCATAAAAAACACGTCAACAAATTGTAGTACACAGTACGAAAAAGATGAATAATGAAATATTGTAACAGTTCCTCGAAAAAGATAAGTATTACGGTAAGTTTTAACACACAAAAATATATAGCAAGAAACATATATTCCTGAAAATATATTCTTAACAATTTGATATAGTTTTTCAGTAAGAATTTAAAAATTCTCAGCATACGCCTTTTTAAAATAATTTTTGCTCTGAACTTTCTCTACCTTATAGGCCTATATGTTATATTCTTTATATCCATTCATTTATGTTGCCCTTAATATGTTATAGTTTCAAAAGGGTTATACCAGTCGCTTAGTGGTTTAAGTCCATATTTCTAATATTGAGATATTTAATTTTGTTTGTGACCTTAAGTGGACTTAAAGCACTTTCAAAATTAACCACTCACATGTTATATTTGGATCAATACGGCCCCGATTTTATATAAATGGTTCAGCAATGAATCCACATCTGTCAGATTATTGATATTTGAATATTTTCATTTAAAATTTGTATAAATCTAATTGAACACTACGAATTGAAGTTGTTGCACCCTCCAAAATATTTTGAAATATGTACATATAATACACCACAAACACGAAATAAAACCAGTAAGGAAAGTAGCAAAATCGGACTGGGCCTACTTTTGATACCCTTCACCACTTTAGGGATATTCTATAAAATCGGGCGAAAATATGTATGTGGGAGCAATATCTAAATCTGAACCGATTTCAACGACACTTAAGCACACAATTTAGATAACATCGGAATAAAGGATATTTGGGAGCTATATCTAAATCTGAACCGATTTTCACGAAACTTAACGCACATCATTCTGTGTTAACTTTGGTGCCAAATTTCGTGCAAATCGAAAGATATATAGGGATTTGGTGCACAATTTACATTAAATCGGAGGAAAATAGGAGCTATATTTAAATCTGAACCGATTTAATTCAGTTCGCTGTGCAAAATTTGTATACATCAATCTGGACAAATATTCGCTATGCAATAGTTTCATTAATATAACATTTATATAAAATTAGATATATAGGATCTATATTTAAATATAAACCGATCTTCTCCAATTTCAATAGGGTTCGTCCTTGGACCAAATAAGTAACCCGTACCAAATTTCATCCAATTCGGATAACAATGCAACCTGTACTTTGTTTACAATTTAAAATGGACAGATATACAGACGGACGGACATTTGGGACTTTTAAAACCCTCAAGTAATTGAAGAGAAAAAAGGCACTGTCTGATGCCCTCTTTGGCCCCAAGGTGTGATTGGACCTACACATTTCATCGAAAACAATGATGGAAAGACTGTCGCAGTCAATTCGGAGCGTAATGATCATATGACAATGGAATTTCTTTATCTTCTATTGAAGGAAATGACTTGGAGAATATTTGGTTGTTCCAGTGAGGAGTTATCATGCCCGCCATCAAAAATAAGGACTTTTCTTTAATCACAAAAAACAACAACAAGACAACAACAAAAATGACACAAATATATACAGCTCAAGCGAATATGTTTAAAAATAAAAAATGTGGGGGGGGGGGGGGGGGGGGGGGGGGGGGGGGGGGGGGGGGTATATCAAAACAATTTTAAATTTCCAAATGATTAATGTGGAATACCAATTGTGTTCGATTTTGATCAGATATTCATTTCTGACGTTTCTAGAGGTATGAACTACGTCGTCGTATTATTTCATGTGTTATCATATTTCCAATGCAAAACGTCAATTTCGCATTAAAACTTAAAATTAAAAATTTGTTAGCCGATTTTCAGTGGTATTATAAACGCTACAGTTTTGAGTGCGAAATAATAAAATCAACACTGCAATTTTCATCGAAATTCTTGGAAAATATGTAGAAGATAAGGCGAATGATAAGTGAAAGTAAACATTGACGAAACATTGCACAAAACAGGTGATTTTGTTGTTGAATCCATGACAAACGTGACAGTCGTTTGATTGTGGAACAATATATATATATATATATATCAAGAAAAGTGTGAGAATAAATAAAATTATTGTTGAAATAAATGTAAAATAGTCGGATATTATTAGAAGGGATTATAACTATATTTTCCCATATATATTAATTTGTTTTTACCATTCTGTTTATTTATGGATTCAGTGACTCAATAGGAGTATATAGGTATAGTTACAAAAATATGTTTATACCTATGTCAATGGAATTATCCTTAATATTGAAAACAACAAACCAAATACACCACAATACCATACTAATATTATATCTCAATATATATATTTTAATAATTTAAAATATATATATATATTTTTTAATTTTCTTATATAAATTTCGTTCAATACTCTTTTCGCGCATTTACATTTTTATTTGACTGTGATATAATTAAAAAAAATACAAAATTAAAAAAAAAAAATCCAATTCACTTACTTTTCGCAAATTTCCGCTTCAATTTTGTTCTTTGTTATAGCCACATTAGTTATATTATTATTGTTATTTCTGTAAAAATTTATTGTATAACAGTCATAGGATTTTGTTATATTTCTTATTTATATATTGGTTTTGTGTTGTATACCTTTATAAAAAAAGACCCTCAAAGAAAATCCCACTGAAACTTGCAGGCGTTTGTCATTCTGTTAAAAAATAAGCGCAAGCCAACTGTCAGTCAGTTTAAGAAAATAAAAATGTTATTTAGAAATATATATTTAATATGCAGTAGCCACACCACTTCTATAACTATTTTTAATTCGGAAGAACATTAGGATAAAATTTCTCTTAACTTTAAAAAAAAGTCATTCTGTAGGTTGTAAAAAATATATTGTATTTCTATGGTAAGACTAATCTATTTCTATGTTCTGGCTAGTAGAGTACATAAAATGATTTCTACCTTCAAAGAAGTAAAAACATCACATAGTTCAGGGGGAACAATTTTTTACTATCTATTATCCACTTTCAAAATAACTATAATCGGTCAGGTCAGGATCTATATGCAGCCTGTATCGAGACATTATCCAACATTGGTTACAAAATTTACTTCTGACAAAATTTACTTAACCTTTACAGGGGAATACATTTTAATATCAGGCCTTGAACCTGATATTAAAATCCAAAATGTTGAACCATTCACTCGTATGGAAAATGCGCCTATGGCCATTAAAATAGCTTATATTAGGTGAGATATTTATATGGGGACTATTTCAAACATTGACTTATATTTACAATGTTTTGCGAATATGTTTAGTACTCAACAAGAAACCGGAATTGCGGAATGAATTACCTAAAAGTTGGGGGATTTATTACAATGTCTCCTCTTGAAAATGCGAAGTTGGACGTAACCATTATAAAAAGGCTATACCAAAACGTGGAACGATATATTATATATGTATCTCATTTTCAAAATCAACATTCTAGGAGTAATTGCAGAATATTTCAAGGATCTATTTTAAATGTTAGAATATATATCGTGATTTCAACTGACGGACAAGGATACATAGAGTACATTTATATTCCGGCATATTGGTTTTAACGACCAAATCCAAAAGTCCCAAAAAATTTTGTCATTATACCCTACAAAACTAGGTTGTCAGGGTATTATAGCTTTGTGCAGGCCAAGAGTTTGTAATGCCGCGAAATATTAGTCCTAGACCCTCCTTTAAGTATACTAATCATAGTCATATCTCGACTAGCTGATTCGATGTAGACATGTGTTTCCGTCCGTCCGTCCATTATAATTTGTAAACACGATACAGGCCACAGTTATGGACCAATCTTCACCAAATTTTGCATGGAGGATAGGTTCGGCCCAATGAAGACCCCTATTGTTTTTGGTAAAGATCGGTTAGTATTTAAGAGATGAAATGGACCAAATACTTAATTTTTGTTGGTTTTTCTGGTCGCTCCAGAGGCCGCAGTTATGGTCCCAACATCGTGAAATTTTACATGGAGAAGAGGATCGTGCCAAAGAATAAGCATTCCTGTTTTGATAAAGATCGGTCAATATTTAGCGGGTCAAATGGACCCTGACTTTTGTGTGAAAAAATTACAAAATTTTTATTCTGGGGCGTATATACTTGCTCCTGAAGGACATATACCCGAGAAGTTGATAGTATATCCAAGAGAAGTTGTTGACCTTCAAATTGATACCAAACTTATGGCTGCATGTACTCTGATGTGGGAGTTATACGTAATTAGGTAAAGGTGACTATGTGCATAGTATTACGATTACTCCATTAGAGGACGGAAATGTCGCGCTGATACTTTTGAAATTGTACATGAACTTCCGATTATGGTCAAGCACGACGCCTATAGTTTTCGGTGAAGTTGAGATTTCATTCAGAAGGTGCAATGAACCGAAATCTTTAACTTTGTCAGATTTTCTAGTCGCTCTAGAGGCAATTATTATATGCAGAGCATCACATATTTTACAAGGTGAAGGGGATCTGACCAAATACTTAGAGCGGCTGTTTAGATGATGATCGGTCAATCAACCAAAACCTAAAGTGACAAAATTTTTCGTTGATCTATAATTGGTGAAAAGGGTGCAAATATCTCGAAATATTGCCCAGGCTCAGAATATAGAACCGCAGAAAGTTTGATTTTCGTGGTGGTTGTGTAGGGTATCACGTGGTCGGCCTCGTCCGACTATACTGCTCCCCTCACTGGTTTTTATACCATTATTAAAACCAATTTAGTCGGACCCTTGGTCATTATTATAAGTGATGACACCAACAGTACAGTCAAATTTTCTTCAATTTAAATATATGATATATGAGACCCGTTATATTGACACTATATCTGACCATGCATATTTTATGAACCAGCAACGACTTTAATAAGTAGTTAAAATACATTACATACTACTACGTGTATTTTCGACATCTCCTTAAGAAAAAGATAATATTTTTGTAATAAACATTGAAATATTGCATGTTTGCTCTTGAACTTTTTTTTACAGCACAACAATTTATTTTTTAGTAAAATATTTAACCCTCTTGCCGTTATGGTAGTTGGATCTTAAAAACTAAAACCCCAATATTGCCAGTAATAAATCTTATCAATACTTCTTATCAAATTGCAGAGAATTGCCAATAAATGTTAAAAATTAATAAATCGTGAAGAAAAAATAAAACAAGAATAACGCCACCTTTTAGTATGGGTTTGATGAATCAGCAACATAATTGATGTTTAATTGACATTGATTACAAAATAACTGAATGATTTAATGTTAGAATTCTTGAGGGGGTGGAAACAAAAAGAAAAAAGTGAAAATAAAAACAAAACATAATTTTCATGGAAATGTTTAATCGAAAGCCATAAACCATAATTGAAATAAAATGATAAAAGAATTGTAAAATAACATACAAAAACAATAATCGATAACTTTTTCCACACGAAAAAAAGACAAACCAAAAATAAAAATTAAAAAACAATGGAAGAAACAATGGAAGAAACAACACAAAACACAAATATAATTTAACAGAAAAAATAATAATTTCGATTTTAAACGAAAAATCAATTTTGATTGACTACTAACTTTTCTTCATTCATCACCATTTCAATTTGTGATAATTGTCTTTGCATTCTTGATGTTGTTGTAGCTGCTGATTCTGATGATCTGGAATAAGAAATAAAATGTTTGGAGATGATGTTTAAAATGGATCGGATATTGTATAAATTTTGTTTTTTGTTTTAATTATTAAGAATGTGGCAATTAGTATTGCTTTGCTTAAATGTGAATTTAGAATATGAAAAAATAAAAAAACACTGCTTAAAAATTATTGTGGGAGATCAAATGTGGAGATTTTCATATGTTAGGCAATGTCGACAATTTCATAATGTTAATTGTGTAAACAAATCGTAAACAAAATAGTTTTAGAAATCGTAATCAATATGCATTCAAAGCAGTTTATTTTGCAAAAAAGCAAACAAATATACCCTAATGCACTTGCCCACCTGACCACTTATCTACTCAGATTACTTTTTGTCAAGGGGTTCGTTATGTATTCGTATATTATCACATTTTGGCTAATACAAAATACAGTTATCAGCAAAATAATAACAAAAAATGTGATATGACACACCTCCTGACAAGGTGTTTTCGTAATAATCAGAAAAAAAAAAATGATTGCCGATTTTTGTACGCACACTAATCAAAAAATGCAATATTGTACAAAGTGCAATTGATATATTCGAAAATATTTCATTGCTAAAAAGCTGATTGATTATTTTTTCAACGAAATTTGGGCAAATAAATGAGAGTGTTCAAAGGACATATATTCAATAATTATCAGATAAATAATAATGCATTATTTAAGAACAGTTTTTTCGAGAATTAACATAACTGCAATCGTATATTTTTAAAAAATTTTAAAAAGGGGATAATTTTCAACAATTTTCAGAAACTTATGCTACTAGCATCGTTTGTAAATATTATTTATTAGTAAATAGCACAGATATAGACGAGATTTTTTTAATAATTTTTCAAGAATATTCAAAAAGTGTTTTTAACAATTTCTGAAGATTTATCAAAGAGTGAATGTTTTAAAATAGCAATAAAATAAATAATGTTGGACATTTAAAAAAAATATATTTTCAAGTTACAATTTTCAAGTAATTGAAGAGAGGCAAATACACTCAGGAAAAGTCACAGTTTAGTGTTCGTTTTCAAGTAGTTCTTGTAAAAAATTACATATACCGCACAAAAACCCATTAATTTGGTGCTAACATAATTAATTTTTGAAAATTTTTCATAAAAATGTTTTTTAACTTGAAAATTTATCAGTTTTTAAAATTATTTTTCTAGGATAATTTTGAAATGCTTATATAATAATTTTTATGATTTTTTTATGAAACGTAAAGAAAATTTCCAAGAAGTCTTAGTTTTTATAAATAGAACTATATTAAAAGCACGTAGTACGTAGATCTATATTAAAAACAGCCTTTTTTGTCGTAATATTTATACCCTACACCACACTGTGGTACAGGATATTATGTCTTTGTGCATATGTTTGTAACAGGCAAAAGGAAACGAGATAGACACATGGTTCCTTTTGAGAATATGCATAGAATCACTTTCTGAGTCGATTTATGCATGTCCGTCCGTCTGTCCGTCTGTAGATGTTAAATTGTAAACCAAGTACAGGTCGCATTTATGATCCGATTTGGATGAAATTGGCACAAGTCACTTATTTGGCCCAAGGACGAACCCTATTGAAATTGGGAAAAATCGGTTCAGCGGTTCAGCTCCCATACATATTTTCGTCCGATTCAAGGTAAATGGGGCACCATTCGATTTGCACAAAATTTTGCACAGAGTACTGAATTAGGTCCAGAATTATGTGTGCCAAGTTTAGAGAAAATCGGTTCAGATTTAGATATAGCTCCCATATATAGCTTCGTCCGATTTAAGGTAAATGATGCATCAAAGTCCCCATAAATCATTAGATTTGCATGAAATTTGGCACAGAGTATTGAATTAGGTCCAGAATTATGTGTGCTAAGTTTCGTAAAAATCGATTCAGATTTAGATATAGCTCCCATATATAGCTTCGTCCGATTTAAGGTAAATGATGCATCAAAGTCCCCATAAATCATTCGATTTACGCGAAATTTGGCATAGAGTATTGAATTAGGTCCAGAATGATGTGTGCTATGTTTCGTGAAAATCGGTCCAGATTTAGATATAGCTCCCATATATAGTTTTGTCCGATTTTATATAAATGGTACACCAATGTCCCTATATATCTTTCGATTTGCACGAAATTTGGCACAGCGTACTAAATTAAGTCTAAGTTTCGTGAAAATCGGTCCAGATTTAGATATAGCTCGCATATATATTTTCGTCCGATTTAAGGTAAATGTGGCACCAAAGCCCCTATATATCTTTCGATTTGCACGAAATTTTGCATAAAGTACTCAATTAGGTCAAGAATGACGTGTGCCAAGTTTCGAAAAAATCGGGTCAGATTTATATATAGCTCCAATATATATATTCTTCCCATTTTAGGTAAATGGGTCTCCAAAGTATATCTTTCGATTTGTGCGAAATTTGGCATAGGGTACTGAATTGGGTCCAGAATGTTGTGTGCTAAGTTTCGTAAAAATTGGTTCAGATTTAGATATAGCTCCAATTTATATTTTCGTCCGATTTAATGTGCACTAAAGAACCAAAGATTGGCCGACCCGCACACAATTTTGGACAAAGTACTGAAGTTACTATAACCTTTCGTGTGTCAAGTTTTCTTGAAATTGGTTCAGATTTACATATAGTTCCTATATGTACTTTCGTCCGATTTTATATAAATGGTGTACTAAAGACCTTTAGTAGGCCGATTGTCAAAACGTACTGAAATTAATATAAATTAATCTCGGGCAAGTTTTCTTGAAATCGGTTCAGATTTAGATATAGCATAGCTTCCATATATAATTTCGACCTATTCATGTTGATTTTAAAACAAATAATCAATGGATGTTTGATTGGTATTACATTTTAAACAGTGAACTTATAGATAAAGATCGCATTTTTATGTTCGTTCAATTTCATGTCAATGTTCCTTCGAAAAGACGACATCTGTAAAGATACATATGCGGAATATCCCCAAAGTCGTGAAGGGTATCATATATAGTCGGCCAAGTCCGACTTTATTACTTTCCTTACTGGTTTTATGAATAATTATTGAGTTGTGCAATTTTTTATAAAGTTTAAATTGCTAAACAAATATTTTATACCCTTTTTATTGAATATTTTAAAATTATTTTTTGTCTTTTTATAGAAAAAAAATTTTTTGAGCAAATTTTTGAAATGAAAGCTTCATGTATATTTAATTAAGAATTATTATTAGCAAAACACATCCCAATAGAAATTTTAGAAATACTGTACTGTCGCTTGTATTGAATGAAGTGTTGTTCTTGTTGTTGGCAACATTGCCATGATTATCTACTCAAATGACAAACCGTTTTTTTTTCTTGTATATTAAACTACGTTGTTTCTTATCGGCTGTGATTCTCTTCTTTCATTAATTTCATCATCATCATCATATTCTTCATTTCGTTTTTTCTGTAGCTTTGATGGGTAAATGTTTATTATTCGCTTCGTACGCTAGCTGCAGACAACCTCCTTATTCACAAAGTAAATATAAAAAATACAGTTCTGCTATTATTCTGCGATATTTTTTAAATCCAAAAATCGAAAACTTGTCAGTTATAACATGCAAATCATTCATTGTCGTATAACAATTGATATATCGGACACATGAATAAAATCTATATTGCCTTAGGCCACATTATGGCAATAGCCGCCATAAAACAATTCTAAAAGGTTATTCATTAATGTATATTTGTCAGCACATTAGAACATTTGAGTGTATGTAATAGATCTGAAATGGAGGTGTGTATTACAAAATGTATCCACGTGTTCGATCTGCTCTGAATTATAATTTTTTGTTTTGTTTTGATTTGAAATCAAATATTCTATTCCATGGAGGCTTAACGTTTTTTGTATTGAGATTTTGTTGAATAAACATTTTGTTTTACAATTTCTAATCTAATATTATATTTAATTAGATAATATGTAAATTGTTGTTTTGTTTGTTTAAGGAAAATATTATTATTAAACCATATTCGTTGTATTGGTATTTACATTTGATAATGTAATATAATTAATCTGACATTGGCCATGAACAGTGTATTGTCGCATTCCAGCTGGGATCAACACACAACAATATTTTTTTACAAGGCTTGTTTTGGGGGTATGTTGGTCAACACACCCCCTTAATTAAACCAATGAGAATTGGAGTTTCGGGTTTTTTTCAACAACAATATAATGATGTTGTTCCCTCCCCTTTGATATAACCAAACACTTGAAGTATGTCCATACGAATACTTGATCTTGATTGTGGTCAAATGCACTTGACTGTAATATCTATGGGTTCATATGTGCGTTTTCTGTAAAAACCGGTTAAAGGCAAAGCTTTATCAGTCATTATTAACTATTTAGGTATGTTTGATAAAAGCTTCATATCTGCTAATCAGAAAAAATTGAAATAAATTTAAAAAAATCGAAAAATATATTAATTTTTTTTTTTTTTTTTTTTTGAAAATATATCGAACAAATAAATCGAGAAAAAAATCGAAAAATATTTGAGCGTTTATTTTTTTGTTTATTTGCTTAGATTTGTATTTTGAATATTAACAAGTTATAACATGAGCGTCTTTTTTCTCTCTGTTATGCTAATAATACCAACATCACGCGATATAAACCAATTATCTATGATTTTTTTCTATCTGCATATATATGTCGAATTCATAATATTGTGTATACCAAAAAAGAAATTAATACAACAATTTCTAGATTTGAATTTTTTGAACTTGTTATCTCTGATTTTGGGTTTGGCTTAAATTTTGTTTTATTATTTTTTTTATTAATAATGTATGCATATATTTCTATTGTTGTTGTATTAAATTATTATTGATACACATAATTTTGTTTGGTTTTATTTTCGTTTTTTTTTTTAACATGAAGATTTGTATATTATATTTGATTTTTTTTAAATACGTTCTACGGTAGAGAAATTTCTTGAAAGCAAGAAGAACACATTTTGTTTAGTTTTTTTTAATCTATTTAAGGTGTTTGGTATGATGTAGGATTATTGACTTCGGTTGAAAATTAGCAAAATGACAAACCTAGGAAAATATTTTTTTTTGAAAAAAGTGTCCGCCAATCGTAACAACAATGTTTTAAAAAACGAATTAAGGTTTTGAGAAGCACTCTTGCAGTCGCTTTATGCTGAAACAATAAATCGATTATATCTTCAAGAATTTTTAGATTTTTCTCTTGAAATTTTAAAGCAACATTGAGAATTCAAATTAAATAAAATTAAAAAAAAAAACAGTGAGCGGAGCAGTATAGTCGGACGGGGCCGACCATACGATATCCTACACAACTATTCTATCATTCTGCAGATTTTTATTCCGAGCCTGGGTAAAATTTCGTGATTGTCGCACCCTCTTGCCCGATTAGAGGTCAATAGCACCTCTTCCATACATTGACATATTTTCCGAATATTACTAATGTTCACTACAGTCCTTTTAATTACTTATCCAGATTCCCTATCTGATCATTAACGAAAATTATAGGCGTTGTCCTTGACCATAACTGGAACCTCATGGAACATTTCCAAGCGATCAGCGCTATATTTTCGCCCTCTAGTGTGGTAATGGTTTATTAAATAATATCTGAATACGTAAGCACCTGTAAATATTTACGTGTAATTCCCACATCCGAGTACATACGACAATATAATTGGTATCAATTTAAAGGTCAACCACTCCTCTTGGATATACTATAAACTTCTCGGCTCTATGTCCTTCAGGAGTAAATATATACGCTATAGAATACAAATTTTGTACTTTTTCACAAAAAAGTCTGGGTCCATTTGACCCGCTAAATATTGACCGGTCTTTATCAAACGTCTATTGAACGTGCCCAAAATGACCGTTTGTGCATTGCATGTCACCCAAACTGCCCGCGAGCGTATCTTGAAGGCTGGCGGTGAGGTAATCACCTTCGATCGACTGGCTTTGAAGTCGCCCACTGGCAAGAACTGCCTGTTGTTGCAAGGTAAACGCACCGCTCGTACAACCTGCAAATATTTCGGAAAGACACTCGGTGTACCTCACTCCCACACCCGCCCCTATGTTCGCTCCAAGGGACGTAAAATCGAACGCGCCCGTGGTCGTCGTTCCAGCTGTGGTTATAAGAAGTAAACAATTCGAGAAAGATAACACCTCCGAATGTTTATTTGTAATTTACGTCTACTCTTCTCTCAACCATTTAAAATTGTGACTACATCGCTTGAGAAAATTCCAACAGACGTGAATAAACAAATCAATCAGTTGGTTGATGGAATTAAAAAAAAACAGGCATGCATATTCTTTGGCCCAATTCCCTCCATGTAAAAATTCGAGATGTTTGGACCAAATTTCGGCCTCTGGAGCGACCAGAAAAACCGACAAAAAAATAAGTATTTTGTCCATTTCATCCCCTAAATATTAACCGGTATCTATCAAAAAACAACAGGGGTCTTTATTGGGCCGAACCCTCCCGAACCCTAATGTCATTTTAAAGCTAACTTCATAATGCATCTCTCATAGAAGTCCTGCTCTCTATTTGGAAAAAACTATAGTAGTCGATTTTCACAATCCTTCCTAGATACCAATTTTTGATCATTAAAGAAATTTAGCAGAGCAAGAAAATGATGATAATCGCTTTTTGCCAAGTCCGGACCGAATTTTTTGAAGATGTGTGTGGCCTAGTGTTGTCCTTGTGGCACACGACACCTCTCCTGTTGGCCAATTCTGGCCGTGTCTAGTCAATTGTAAATGATTTTAAACAGTATTAGCTCCTGGGCAAAATAATTTTTTTTTACTGCGAAATGTCGCCTTTCCATCGAGCATAAATCTAAAATTGTGTGATCGATGATTTACGAGAAATCTATCAGTGCAGCCATATCCCGAAAAATAAAGGATATATTTTCCCCAACCTAATATTATGATCCCAGAAGGGCAAATACGTCATATGTCATGTTTTTTTTTTTTTGGAAATCTAAAATCGCAAAAAAAATCGATGTGTGTAACCCCTTCAAAAAATTGCATAAGACAAATTTCACACAATTACCTAGAATTTAATATCTTATCTTTAATTCTCCAACCACTTACAAATAAATATTGCAACCCAGACAATGTTTTATCTTTAAATAGAAATACTTGCAATAAAGCAAAAAAATATTGGGATTTTCTACTAATGCCGACTACTACTTTATTTGGTTGCAGACAACAGAAGCACCACAAACTTTCCTTAACAATTAGTTAACATGGAGGGTTAGTAACCTAGTGTTTTTATACAAAGTTTTCTTTATTATTATTTTTCCTTATAATAATTCATTTCTATTGTAGAGTGCATAGAAATGGATAAGAAACCAACCAAGTTGTAGGGTTTCTAGTTGGTTTTATATTTTGGAAATACCAACAAATGCAGTCCCATCAGTCCCAAGTAGATATCACATCTTATCGATGGATCACATCTTTGAACATGATCTGATGTTAGTACAAATATTTGTTAAATCAGTCATTATAGCCGAGATACTTACTGGCGTAGGTACGAACATGACACCGGTTTGATGAAAATATTACGAAGTTAAGATTGAATCCATCCAGATATTTTCAAAATTGTGATAATATTTAGGAGGTCTCGATTGGCCCTTCCTAAACTATTAGGTTTTGGCGCAAAGATTGATTTGTTATAAAATTAATTATCAGCAACATTTGACCCTTTGTGGGAGACCTACAAGAAGGAGTGATCCGAACTTCCTCTCCTTCCAATAAAATTTATGTTTGGATGAAATTGGTAAATAGACTTCAAATTGTCGGCAACGGATTTGGTCCGAATAAACTTGGGGTCTAAATTAGCAAATTTCTGCTGTAGAAACGTGTGCTGAGAATATCTAAAACAAAACCTCAAACTACTCTGTTCGGGGACAGAAAACAAATCAGTCAAGACTATGACAAAATCAATTAGATGCTACATTACTCATCCAAATTTAACTAATGGAAAATATAAGAAGACAATGTCACCCTCGTTTATATTTTCTTAAAATTGGCAGCAATTTTTGCAATCGAAATGGTTATACGCTCTTCTAGCAAAAATTGCAAAGGTAGTACTATATTGCATGTCTGGCAACACAGATTGCATCTCACCTTTCAGTTTGTATATTGCAAACAAATATATTATACAATATATATATTTCCGGTTTATAATCGATATTTTGAATAGCTGACCTCTTCGCATAACAATAAACACTGCTCAATACCCACGTGTACACAGTATTCTAAAACCAAACAATAGAAAACTAGAAAATTCGATGTCACATTTTAATGATCTACATTGGCGCCCAACAAAAATACAGTTGAAACCCATTTGTTTACATTATCTTTCCATATGAAATAAAACAACACCCTTTAATTAATTCCCTTCTGGAATTTTCCACATACTCATTTGTCTTCTATTGGTATTCTTATCATGTTTTTCCATTGATTGGACTTACAAGACAATCAAGTTTAGGTGCTGCTGCACCACACATTCCTTCATTCATTGATAATACCATCTTCATCTTGTTTACAGATTTTAACAGATCATTAAAACTTGTTATGATGTACGTTTTGAAACAGGTCATCAATTCGAAAATGGGCAAGAAAATTACAATGTTTTCCATTGAAATGGAATGTTTGTCTATGTACCACATACGTACACACATAAATCTGTGCAGGACTAAAAAAGGAAACTAGAAAAGCAAATGGAAATACTTACGAATTATTTTCAATGGCGGTATAGGTATTGCGGGTAGCATTGCCATTCATTTCACTGCCATTGGTCTTGGATTTGGCAATGAGGCAGGCGCTGTCTGTTGCACTGGAGCCGGTCATGTTGTTGTTCTTTTTTGTGTTTTTAAACAAATATTTGAAATGGATTTACGAAAAAACGTGGTGCTTTGCTTAATTTGCACACAAAATTTCAATTCAAGTTTTTTTTCTTTCTTTTTTATATTTCGGCAACTAGTTATGCTAATAAAACTCTGCTTTTGTCACAATCTTATCTGAATTTCTAATTAAATACAATTTTGTATATTTCGCACTATAAACCCAGAATAGACAAAGGTCTGGACGCTGTCAATTCACAATTTCTTCAAAATTAAAAAAAAAGAAGAACGCAAAATAGTTTTGATGTTGCCTGCTTCAAGCGTTTTTGTCAACTGATCGGTTCGCCTATTTACTGGGCTGTATTTATAAGAAACCTGTTGTTGTCCATTGGGCCGGTGTTGTGTGTCTCATCATCATCATCATCACCATAGTTGTTGTTTTTGTCGTCGTCGTCGTCGTTAACCAAACATCAACACAAACTATAATACAAACAAACAATCGGGCAAGCACAACAACAACCATCACCTCCATTATCATCGTCATCATCACCATCGTTTTTGATCGTGTGGTGAGAGTTACGGTTTTTTGATAGATACGCTTGATTTTCATTTACGTTCGTACACAATTCATTGGCCCTTTCGGATTGATTCTCTGTTTTCTTCTCCTGCGTTCACATTTCTCCCATGGAGAAGAGTATGCCAGAGTTTTTGTTTTGTTGCTCAAATTAAATTTTATATTTTTATTTTGATTGATAGCAAAAACGTTTAAACATTTGCATGTTCGTTAAATCGCCAACAGACGATGTTGCCAGATGCGATAAGAATTTAGAGAGGGCATATTGAACCCTTAAATTGAGCATTTATGAGGATAACGCCAGAGATTTGTTTTGTCTTAAATTTAATATTAAAACTTAAATAATTTATAAAAAAATATTTGTAAATACAATTTAGTGTTAACACGAATGTAGGAAACTATAGAACAAGATACAATAAAATATCATTTATAGAAATTCATTGATTCAGTTGTTTTCTAACATTTTGATGTTCTTCTAAAAGAACGGTGGCGCCAAATGAGTTAAAATCGCTTATATATGGACTTAGTTTCTTTAAAAAAAAATAATTTTTAATGAAAACTTTGGGCCAAAACTTGGAAATTGAATTACACTGAAACAAAAAATTGAGCTTATGGTCTGGTGAGTGTAAAATTCATTATGTCAATGGTGAGTATATTAAGAACCCAGGATATTTCTGAGATGACATATTTTCTGTCAAATCGAATAACCAGAGTAACTTCGGGTAATGTATGTTGTGGATTGGTTGTGATAAATTTCAATTTATTGCACTCTTGGTAGGAATGAATGCAAAAATATATGGGTTAATGTTTTGGAATAGCCCCCATTTAAGGGAACCCCCCCATTCTCGATTTTAATTTTTCAAGATTTTCAATGGGCTGGTAAATGAATACAAATGCATGTTAAGGTTTGTAACTTTGCACATATATAATTGAAGATTTAAAAGAGAAGAAAAATACTTTACAAAAAATTTTTGTTATTGTTTTGTTGTTGTTTTTTGTAATTGAAGAAAAGTCCTTATTTTTGATGGCGGGCATGATAACTCCTCACTGGAAAATCGGACTCCGAAAATTCCAACGGTGTTAGAAAGAGTACATGTCTGGCTCTCGTATGAACTAGGATTATTGACTTCGCTCTAAAATTAACAAAATGGTGGACCTTTGAAAAAATATTTTTGGAAAATCGCCGATTTTTGAGCAAAAAACAAGTTAAAAAATAAGGAATATCTTCACCGATTGGCTTTATCCTAGTTCATACGAGAGCTATACACTCCCAGAGAAACGTTGCAAAATTTGGAACCGATTGGATTATTAGTTTTTGAGTTATCGTGCCCGCCATTCGCAAAAAAATGTTTAGAGAAAAACGCGTTTAAAGTTTGAGAAGCCCTTCAGCCGTCACTTGATGCTGACACTATAAATCGGCTATATCTTCAAGAGTTCTTGAGATTTTCACTTGAAATTTTGTAGAGTCATTCTTTAATCAGTGTAGATTCGAATTATATCAACAAAAATTTTGACCCCGAGAAGTGGGGGTCCCCTTAAGGGTACCGCCCCATTTGCTGTATTTTGAAGGTCCTTGCTTCATTATCCAACCGAAGAACTTGTAATTTCACATATCGAGTTTCGAAAAAAAAAAGAATGAATACGTCCTCCCATAATAAATGAGCCCATTTTACGAACTCGCCTTCATGAAAAGGTCGCGCTTTTCTTAGATATGGGGGGTGGTCCATATTAGACGCATAGTCCACATTACCCGAAGTTACTCTAATATTTTTGTAAACCATATCCTCCTTCTGTTTTGAGTTCTTGTGAGTCTTTTTTGTTCTTAGTTTCTAGAACCGTAAAGTAAATTTTATACAAAAAATAAGCTCATATGATTTGTGATAGTGTCTACATAGACAAGAAATCGATATTCGTAAGTTTTCGTCGCCATATTCCACTTTTACCCGATGATTGGTCAGAAAACATTTTCGGAAAATAATTCTGAACAACGACTACAAATGGTAAAAACGGTAATTACCTTCAAATTTGATTTGATGCTAAACTTTACTCCTTCGCTCATACGAGGGCAGTTCGGAAAGTTCTTAGCCTAGCACAAAAAGCGCGGTATAAACAGAAAAAGCATAAGTGGTTTCGAAACTTCCATCTCTCTTATGAACACATGTTAAATTTTGTTTTGATCTGGCAACTCCTTCATATAGACACCGGTGTTCAAAAAAGATGCATCCGCAATTTTTTACAATGGAACGTCTTTTTTGAACGTTTTGTTATAGCTCATATTTTTCTTACGATTTTTCTATTCCCGATTCGTAAAGGCAAATAAACCTTCATGTCAGAAATGGTGAGAATAACGTATCTGATTTAATAGATAATAGGTTCAATTTTAGGAGCCGAATGTCCTTGCACAAATATTGGGTCCGAATAGGACCTCTTTTTAGGATTCCGGCCTGGAAGTAGAAGCTCCTAATTCAAGAATGTCCCTTTAAAATTTGAAGTGAAAAATATCGTCGTCTTTTTATGTCAGCATGAAGTGACGGAAGGGTGCTTCTGAAACTTTAAATGCGTTTTTCTCAAATCTGTATTTTAAGGTAACTCAAGAACGGATAATCCAATACATTCTCAATTTTAACACGTTCTATTATATATACATAGCTATCGTATAAAATAATGTATAAGTAACCGATGAAGACTTTTCTTATTTTCTAATATGGTTTGTTGCAGAAAGTCGTGCCCACCGCCGAAAAGAAGGACTTTTCTTTATTTGCAAACAGGGACCGTAACGGTTATAACTTATATCAAATCAGGTAAAAAATAACTGTTATTATGTGACCTAAATAAAAAAAATCCACTTTAATTAATTATTTTTTAACGGAAAAAATAAACGTTGATTTATTTTCTGACGGAAAAAAATACAAATCCCAAAAAGACTTTTATTTTTGACGGAAAAAATAAAAGTCCCAAAAAGACTGTTATTTTTGACGGAAAAAATAAAAGTCCCAAAAAGACTTTTATTTTTGACGGAAAAAATAAAAATCGCAAAAAGACTTTTATTTTTGACGGAAAAAATAAAAATCGCAAAAAGACTTTTATTTTTGACGGAAAAAATAAAAATCATTTTTAACAGTTAAAAATCACCGTTTATTTTTTCCGTTAAAAAATAATCCTTAACATGGGAACTGAGAGTGTTTTCTCAAGATCACTCAATATCCTCAATGGGCTCCTCAGTACGAATCTATTGGTATATGACACTATTAGTGTCCCATGTCTCTAACATGAAGATTTTTTTGTTCGCATTTTAAAAAATAACTGTTATTTTCGGTCCCTGTTTGCAAATACTTACATGCAAAGTTACAAGTGTTCAATATAATGTATGTTAATTTCCCAGCCCATTAAAAATCTTCGAAATTTGAAATCGATAGGTGGGTCCTCTTAACATTATTTTTTTTAATGGAGACGAATGATATGTCCATTGTAAACTATTTTGTTAAAATTTACATACTCGAGAGTATACAAAATTCCATCCCATACAATTCAGTGTAATTTTCAAAAGTATAATCCTTCCAGGTCCCAAGAGTCAGCCTTATGGCATTTAGTATAGTTGTGTTTGAATAGCACCAACTAGACAGGACCGAAGGTAACCAGGTAATCTCTCTGGGCACAAGAGATTCAAATACTACCATCGAATATACAATTCTGAATTTCGGCTACCGCACACAGAACGAGGCCAGTTGAATTTTTTGGATGTCACTAATATGTATGAACTCACTCACACAACCACTGTCACTCATCTTTATTTTTAAAATTGTTACAAATTCTTTTGAATGTCAAGATGCTCGCTGAAAGACTCACAACAATAATTACCAATGCAAATATTTTTTATTTAAATATAGTCGTAATAATTATAAATTGATATTATAATATTATACGAACAGGCATTATCGCATTATCTTATTTTTATTATTACATGTCATATTGAAGTGTGCAATTTATTGATCAAAATTTTCCATTACATTTCTTTAAAGGGATTCAACATATTGTGTCGATTATTTTGACTGTTGTTTGAGAGCTCTCCCTGTGGCCACACAGATTGTTTCTTGTTATTTATTTAAATTCTTTAGGTAAGTAAATAATCGATTTCCCATTCACAATATACAAGGGCTTCGATTTGATTAAATTTTTCCAAGCACATCTTCGGAATAAAAGGGTATTTTTGTAATTACAGAAAAAAAATAAATAAAAAATATTTGTTTTGTTTTCATCTTTTAAGTCTTAAACCCCACAAAATAGTTTATTTACAAGTCTATAGGAAATCGCCGAAATTTAAATAGAGAATAGAAAACTAGGATCCAAGTCTTTTTTTTTTTGTATAAAATATCTTTAATTATTATGTCATATATTGAAGACGCCAGTCTATTAAAAAATATAGCACTATCAAGATTTATTAATCGCATTC